CATTAAGCCAACATGGAGCAAACAGGAAACACCACCAGACTCAGCAAATACACTAAGGAATGACAACTGTGCATGAGCTGCCCAGCCAGAGCTCATCCTTGGCTTAGGACTTCTCAACTGAGAAGTGGCACAGACACATGACAACCCYTTTTGTTTAAAAAATGGCCTAGAAATATTAGTGTATCTAGTCTCCACTAGTTGTATCCTTTTCTAGAGTCTATTTAAAGTTTTGAAAGCCTGACAGCATGTGACTAGGTCACATAGTAAGTCTTAGACTTCCCTCTCTGCAACCACAGATTTACCTTGAGTGGAACAGTCAGAATCATAAAGACATTCCAATACCTTGCAGTGTCTTAGCTTCTGCTCTTTAGCTGCAATGGAAGAATAATGTAGCAACCTGATTACAGTTTCATTTATCTATAGCTGAGTGGGAGCTTGACAATTAAATTCAAGCAAATACCGTGCAGTTTTTGGCATGTTCTTAATCAAATATTTGCAAAAATAAAGTTCTTTGCAGGAAGTGTTTAAAATAATTCTCTGAGACATGTTCTACTGGACACATGAGGACCGGTCTTAATGGACTAATTGACACCTCTGGCCTCAAATCTTTGCATTTACCAGCCTTGTCAGATAAGCGTGATTTCATTAACTCAGCTGTCATTGAAAAATATCTGAGAACGAAAGTGTCAAACGAAAAGTTTGTCACWACTAAACCAGTTGCGACATCAAGCGTTTTGAGAGGGAAGGTGGGGCTCTGGCTCCCGAGGCCGAATGCCGCGGGCCATGTCCCTGGGCACGGCTCGGGGAGAGCCCGGCTCACCTGCACGAACCCGCTCCTCTCCGAGTCCGTCATTTTGCCTTTCCCTGAGGCGACTTCCTCCGCGGATTTCCTGRGGGCAGCGCTCGCTTGCTTACCCTTCTCGAGCCCGCTGTCAGCTCTGGAGTTGCCCGACTTTAGGCCCCACTTGCCAATAATTCGCTCTTTGGAGATCTTGACGTTCATATTTAGGCGCCTGTACAAACCAAACGTGGCGCCACGGAACAGCGATCCCTTCTAGCGGGGAGGAYGAGGCTTCCGACAGCTGGAGTCGAGCGCAGGGTGCGTGGGCC